TCAATGGCATATATCTCTGTTGTAGGCTTGATCTCCAGTGCATGTGGGAGGCAACCAGTCAATGTATCTCATCAATGTGTCTCTCTCCCTCCCTTCCATTTTCTCTAAAAGAAAACCAATGGAGCTGAAACCAGTTTGGCTCAGTGGATAGAGCGTCGGCCTGCGGACTGAAAGATCCCGGGTTTGATTCTGGTCAAGGGCACATACCTTGGTTGCGGGCACATCTCCAGGGTGTGCAAGAGGCAGCTGGTCGATGTATCTCTCTTATCGACGTTTCTAGCTCTCTATCCCTCTCAATTCCTCTCTGTGTAAAAATCAATAAAATATATTTAAAAAAAAAGAAAACCAATGGAAAAAATATCCTTGAGTGGGGATTAACAACAACAAAAAAGGACATAAATTTCTGTCCTTTGCTAGCAAGTAGATAAAGCAATACATTCAATGCGATCAATATGACATGACACATGTTACATGAATAGTTTGCAGTGGATAGTTGTCATTTTTGGCTGCCAGCATTAAATAGTCTCCTTCTCCTCCTCCTCCTCCTCCTCCTCCTCCTCCTCTTCCTCCTTCTTCTTGGGATCTCAAGGCAGATGGGAGGCCCACTACCCCTTGTAGGAGATGTGGTCTCTTCCCTTCTTCTCAGCAGCAAGTGACTAGACCAAGTATGCTGTCCAACCACATACATGGGGCTTAGAATTGGAAAGGTGTGGCAGCAAGCATTCCATCAAAAATTATTCAAGATGAGCCATAGTGCCTATAGCAGAGCCGAGTCCAGCAGGTGGCTGCCGCTGTGCAATGGCGTGCCAGCCTTGGTGGCAGCAGCACATGCCAGCTTCTCTCATGTGCCGTTTTCCAGAGGTGCTGTCTTCCTGGGTTTTCTAAGTCTGACCTGAAGTTTTTCTGACAGTTCTGTGAGCTTCGAGAAGTGTTTCCAATGGACTCCTCTTCTGCCTCAGTTAGTTCAAAGAAGTTCATGTTCTTCACTACCAAGGATCTATGATGGGCATACCGGTCAGAGGAGAGCCAAAAGCTGGGGCTTGTCTCTGTTGACGTCCGTTTGATAAAATTCCAGATCCATCTCTGATAACAACCCTTTCTGAAGTAGGAATAAATGGATGCCACTTTAATGCAATAAATAATATATATCTCAAACCAAAAGCGGGCATCGTGCTTGCTAGCATTGGAAGCATTGCTATTAATGTCAGGAACAATCAAGCCTTCCCACTCTCATTACTACTACTTAACTGAATTCTGGAAGGGTACTCAGATGAGAGAGAGAGAGAGAGAGAGAGAAAGAGAGAGAGAGAGAGAGAGAGAGAGAGAGAGAGAGAGAGAGAGAGAGAGAGAGAGAGAATATGAGGAATAAAAAGTATAAAGGAAGAGGCCAGGTTATTATCTCATGCATTGACATGAATGCCAGAAAAAAAACAGGAGAACCAACAGGAAATTAGGAGAAAGAACTATAGTACATCAGGTGGCTGATTACAAAACAATTTCTCCTAGAGACAAACAACTGAAAATATAATGGCATAAAAGTATTCAATTTTATAGTATCAACAAATAGGAATCAATGTATTAATGTTACAGACCTATGGAAAGAAACTATGCTGTTCTCGCCGGGACCGGTTTGGCTCAATGGATAGAGCTTCGGCTTGGGGACTGAAGGGTCCCAGGTTCCATTCCGGTCAAGGGCATGTACCTTGGTTGCAGGCATATCCTCAGTAGGGGGTGTGCAAGAGGCAGCTGATCGATGACTCTCATTGATGTTTCTAACTCTGTATCTCCCTTCCTCTCTGTACAAAAATCAATAAAATGTATTCAAAAAAAAAAAAAAAAAGAAACTATGCTGTTCTCAGGACATGAAAAGTTTGTATAATTTTTAAAAGACACACTTTATTTTCAGGGAAGATAAATTATGATGACGTCAATTTCATCTAAATTAATTTACATAAATAAATACCTGCAAAGGATTGAATTCTGAGATAACAACCCAACAGTGAATAAAATACTGGGAGGTGTAGCCCTAGCAAACATTGCAATATATTCTCAATCCATGTTATTGTGGATTATAGACACACAGCAGTGAGATAGAACAGAATTTTAAAAACCCTAAATATATGTGAGGTTTCCTGTGTGATTAAAAAGTGACATTATAAAGCAGGGGGGAAAGGTTAGATTGTCAGTCACAGAACTAACGTTACCGTAAGGGAATGAGCTTACAATCTGCCACCTGCTCTAAGGTACAGGCCTCCTCACAGCAGCAGAGGCTCGTCTGATTCACAGTGGACACCTAGTGAGGTAGCCTTCATACAGATATTGATTAGAGAGTAGAAGGGAAAGGGAGAGAGAGAGAGACATCCGCTTAGAGAGATGAATGGACTGCTTGTCTCCCACATGCGCCCTGAGAAAGACCAGGGATCAAACCTGCAGCCCAGGTGTGTGCCCTTGATTGGGAATTGAACCCTTTGGTGCTTGGGCCGATGCCTAATCACTGAGCACACCGACCTGGGGTCAGCTCAATTTCTTTGAAGCAGAAATTAGACTATGTATTTCATCGCTGGAGAAGAAACCTGGGTTCCCCAAGATATGTGATCAGTGCCGGGGCCTCGCCAGCAGGTGAGGGAATCCCAAGGCAGGCGCTGGGGGGTGGAGGCCATGGGGGATAGGCTACCAAGGAGACAGAACTGAACCTCACATCACCCTGCTTACCCCCGGAGGATGGCTGGTTAGTCAGACAGGTAAGATTTCTTAGGGAAGGAACAACCTAAGACAGGCAGTCGCAGACGGGCCATCAGGAGAGAACTTGGGGGTCAACAGAGGTGGGGCACAGACCCTTACTGTCCCTGCTACTTTGCAGGGCCTGAACCTTCACCTCTTCTGAGGGAGGTCTCCTGACCCCATGGCTGCTTTGCTTCCCATGCACAGCTCAAATCAGGACCTGGGTAACAGACAGAGTCTTGGCTGACAGCAGCTGCCCTCTCACTGCAACAAGACTTGTTTGAGAGGTCTTGTACTCATGGTGAGGGGAAGTGGGTTTTTGATATCCAAATCCAACCTAGTACCAGGAATGCTCAGGGCCTACTCAAGAAGGCAAATAATCCTTTCCACTAATACACCCAGGGTAAAATAAGATGGTTGTTAGAGTGTTGAGTTTGACAGTAGAATAGTCAAGTTTTCGAGTAATTTAAATTGGCTAATTGAAATAAGCGAATATTCTAGAAAATTTGATTATAATGTAGAAAAAGCTGTTCCTATAGTATTAAGGAAAGTTTTTATTGGCAGTTCATCTCATGGTAAAATTTCATAACACCTAAAACAGTCATATTTTAGCACAAAAAATTAAAATGTAAAAGCTATCAAGACTACATTATAAAATTTCCAAAAGCCTCCTAATATTTAAATTTTTTAAAAAAGGGGTTGATACCGGTAGTAGAATAATATCATGTAAGGGAAAATAGCCTGTAAGTAAATTACATCTAGAAAATTTGTACTTTAGAAAATTAACTTTCATTTGTAATGCTAACAAGCAAGACACCCATGAAAAACACACATGGTGTCAAAACAAGCCAAAGGAAAATCATTTGGGTAAAAAATGAAAAGGAATCCCAAGTCAAATTTATAGAAAAGATTCCTTTATTAACTTTTGGTTGAAAATATGTTTGTATATTTTCAGAAAACAACTCCGAGACGATGTGGATTCCTGCAACAGAGAGGAATTGACAGGACTGCTCCAGCCATGAAGACAGAAGAGAGGCAGTCCAGAGATGGAAGACGCTGAATTCGCCTCACCATACAGGCAGACAGCAGCTACGTGTCGCTGAAGGATGCCCAGGACCAAACCAGAGACGGTGGGACCTGCATCACCACTGTTTGGCCACCAACCAGATCTGAAATATCAGGGCTGACATGTACACGTAAGAACTGTTTCACATTGAAATTGGGACTCAAAAGAACTGTTGGCCCAGAAAGGAACTCACTACAGACTGATTCATTTGCCTCTCAGCATAACCATTATGGCTTGTCTCATTTTCTGTTCTTATAAGGGAATTCCTTGTATCACATGATCTCACGCATCTAGAGGAAATAATGAACAACATAAACTGATGAACAGAAACAGACGGGAGCCAGGGAAGCAAGCATCCATCAGACTGTCCAACCTTAGAGGGAAGGTAGGGGAGGGTGGGGGAAAGGGGAGAGATCAACCAAAGGACTAGTGTGCGTGCATAGGGGCCTAGCCGGTGGTCACGGATGAGGGGGAGGGGGCTTTCAGGGGGAGAGGGTTGGGATGGAAATGGGGGGATGAGGACAATTATGTGACACCATAATCAATAAAAAAATAATGAAAAAAAGAGAACCGTGTGTTTAGTGAGGGAATGAAGGCTGACTCCAGCGGGACTTTATTATTTGTAATCCTCATCCTCCCACAGGCGCCGGAAGGAAGACGGGAATCGAACCGGGAGTCGAACGGGAAACCCAAGTACGTGCCCTGACTGGGACCCCCGGTGCGGGCCGGCCTTTGGGGGCCGGCTGAGGAGGAGGGGCTCTGATGACGCTTCCCACTGCGACCCCAAGTGCCGCCCAGACGGCGGCCGGCGGCCCCAGGCGTCGCGGGCGGTCAGGTCACGTCCATCTCCCCTCCGGGCGGCCCGGCGGCCCGGCTCCCGCTCCGCCGCAGACCCCGCGGGGCCGCCCGCACCGGACATGGCCCGCCAGCTTCCCGCGGGACCGCGCCGGAGCCGCCTCACCTTCGCGGCTGGGGGCGGCGACTCCGTTCCCTCAGTCAACATGGCGGCGGCGGCGGCCTCAGCGCCGGGCGGCGGCGGCGGTCACGTGAGCGGCCCAGCTGGGCCGGCCGCGCGCGCTCCCGCCGCCCGCCGGCTCTGGGCGGCTCGGAGGCGGCGGCGGCGGCCCGGCGCGGCGGGATGCGGCGGCGGCGGCCGTGGCGGGGCCGCGGGCCGGGAGGGCGGGCGCGGGGATGAGCGTGGGCGGCCGCCGCCATGTCCAAGGTAACGGCGCCCGGCCCCGGGCCGGCGGCGGGCGGGAAGGAGAAGCGCTCCTTCAGCAAGCGGCTGTTCCGGAGCGGCCGCGCGGGCGGCGCGGGGGCCGGAGCGCCCGGGCCGGCCGCGCCCTCGCCGTCGTCGGCGCGCTCGGTGGGCAGCTTCATGAGCCGCGTCCTCCGGACGCTGTCCACGCTCTCGCACCTGAGCTCCGAGGGCGGCGGCCCGGACCGCGGCGCCCTCCGCGGCTGCTTCCCGCCCGGGCCGCCCGCGCCGCCGCCCTGCCCGCCGCCCGCGCCGCCCGCGCCGCCCGCCTGCGAGCCGGTGCCCGGCGTGGCGGGGCTCCGCAACCACGGCAACACGTGCTTCATGAACGCCACGCTGCAGTGCCTCAGCAACACCGAGCTCTTCGCCGAGTACCTGGCGCTCGGCCAGTACCGCGCCGGCCGGCCCGCGCCCGCGCCGGAGCCGGAGCCCGCGCCCGCGCCCGCCGGCGCCGCGGGGGAGGTCACGGAGCAGCTGGCGCACCTGGTGCGCGCGCTCTGGACGCTGGAGTACACCCCGCAGCACAGCCGCGACTTCAAGGTGGGCCCCGGCCCCGCCCGCGCCCCTCCGGGCCCAGCCGGCGGGTCCGGACCGAGGGAGGGGGACACGCACCCTCCGTCGCGTGTGTGCGCAGAGCGTCCCGCCTGCCGGGCGGAGGCGGCGGGTGTGCGCCCGGCGGGCGGGGTCCGGCACGGTGGGGTCGCCGGTCGGGCAGCCTCGCCCGTTGCACCCTCGCCGTGCGGGCTGCCTCCGGGCTGCCTCCGAGAGCTGCTGCCAGGGTGGGCTTCGTGCTCCCGGCCCACCCGCCCGAGCGCGCGGAGAGCGTCCGCCGCGGGGGCGCCCCGGGGCGCACAGACCGGAGTGGCCGCTCTGATTGCTTTGATGGGAAAGACTTGATAAGTTAACGGGCCGTGTCGGCGGTTTGAAGACAGTGAGCCTGGTGATGCCGCCACTGCAGCGGGCGGGCGTGGGTAGGCGACCCCTCGGAGGGCCTGGGACCGCCGGAGGCCTGAGCGGCGGGAAGGCCTGGAGGCGGAGAAGCTGCGCCCACGCGGGAGGGTGGTGCGGGGCGGAGGCCTGCGAAGGCTTTGCTGGCCAAGACGCAAATCCAGGCTGCCATGTAGGTGCTTTTAATTGACTAAAATAAAAACAGTGAAGTTGAGTACAATACTTTGCAATCCAGGTCCACCAATGGGAAGAATGAGATTATTTCTGCTAGGGGAAGTAATTGCCTTTCAAAATTAGGGTGGGAGGCCACAGGGAAAAGCAGTATGCCATTCCTGATACTCTCCCGAACACAGATTTAATGCAAGTTTTCGTTTTTACAGACCATTCTTAGCTCCCCGGCCGCACAAGTGCAGGCAGTGGGCTAGACAAGGCCCTTGGGCCCCCGCAGGGAGCGGGTTGGAGCTGAGGGCTGAGCCAGGTGATGTGGGACCATTTAGGCGGCACTAAGGGAATGAATGGGCTCTTATTCTCAGCAAAAAGGAGAAGGTTTGAGATTGTCTGAGGATTCCTTTTAGGTGGGAAATAGAATTAAATTAACCAGAATGAAACCACACAGTGAGAAACCTATTTTTTGTTCCCTTTCTGTCCTGATCACGCTCAAGAGAAAGTCTCAGCGTGGCGGTTGCCTTGGCTTTAACACTGCTTGCTCACTCCCCACCTTTTTTTTTTTTTTTTAACAAAGCAAGAAGAAGCTTCAAGTTTAGAGGCTTTAGTAGGCAACAGTAGCTGGAATGTAGTAGTAAGGTGATGTCATTGAGCTTTTTTTCACATTTGTCTTGTATTCATGGCAAGTGGTACTGGCTTTTCACTGATACTATGAGGTTTCTTTTAAAAATCCTTTTGTTTAAATAAGAGTGAATGACTTGATTAAAATATAAAATGGTAATCTGTCAGAGGAGCCAGAGCTTGGTTGAGGACTTCCCTTCTTGCTGAGGGACAGCGCTGCCAGGGTGCGCCCCTCTCCTTTTATTACACTTTACTTACATTATATTTATGTGTATGTTGTTCTGCCCTGTTTCTCAAAGAGAAAAGGTGATTGCTGTTTGATCTTGGAAATTTGAATGGAAATACTTGACTAGTATAGGGACTGGAAAAAATTAGGTCCATGTCAGAAATCTCAAAATAAGTAAGTAGGAGAGGATGACAACCAGCCAGCAACGATAAAAAAAAGTATTTTTCTTTTTTAATTTTCCTTAGAGTTGCTGTAAGCCACAGCAGTTACAAACTTTTTAAGGCCAGAGCCAAGTGATTTAAGTTTCATTTTCTCCTTTTTTTCCAAATGTGAAAATAAATTTCAACAGCATTTGGTATGAGGACATTTCCATTGCTTTTTAAGAGATTGTGTTCATTCTTTTATGCAGTAAAAGCTGGACAGAAATAGGTCAGTGATTCTAGAAATGCCAAGACTGATTTGTAGGTATGCTTTCGTAAAGTTGAACAGATTCTTAGAGGACCTATTTTTTTTTTGAAAAGTGTAATCTCTGAACCTTAGTAGGTTGCACTTTGCACTCATTTGCCTCCCATTTATTGAGGATTTACCCAACCGTTTAGGAGCCAGGCCATTTCTGGTTTCTACTCCGTTATCCTTAGCTCTCATTGGCTTTCTGTCCTTAGTGTTTGCCACCTTGACTTCTCCCTAGGCAGGGCAGGAAGCCTGCAGGGGGGAAGGTCTCCCAGAAGCCCCTCAGCAGGCCTCTGCTGACACCTCATTGACCGACCATGTCACTTCCCTCCTGGCTGCCGTGGAGGGGTGGGTGGACATTTGGGCTTTCCTGCTTTAATAGAGGAGATGAGTGAGGCAGCCACACACCTTTACCTGCCCGTGAAGAACTGAGTCTCCAGGAACCTGGCAACTTTCCCAAGACACAGTTCCCACACTTTGATGTGCTGCATTTCTAACCAATCTGGTGTCTGGGTTACACCGTGGAGATGGAGGGAGTACCGAACGTTTGGGAGCAGGAGGATGTGAACGCATTGTAGGCTCCCCTGGTTGAGACATTATCCTCTGGAAGTTGAAAATCCAGAGCCAACTTTTGAGTAGGAGAGTGATAGGATCAGGTTTCTTCTTCTTTTCCTTTTATTTCTCCCAGTTTGGTAAGCCTGGTGGATTACTTTCTGTTTTTCCAGAATGTTTTATTACAGCCACATTTAATGGCTGTGATTTGAGCCTTAGGAAAGTTGAACACCAAAGGAGGTGGATGTGAGGCCTCCTCGTCACCATGCCCTGCCTTACACATTCCGCCTCCCTTTGGGCTCCAGGCAGCCACTGCCCAGTGATTGGACTTGGCAGAGAAGTTAAAACCAGTTTGCCATCTTGAGATAATTTATTTTGAGGTCTGGAGAAGCACTTAGTATGTCTTTGAATGTGCTTTGTAAATTTCTCAATTAGAATTCTTTCTTTCTCTCTGGCCGTATTAACTGGAGCTTAGAAGCTGACCAGATAAATGGATTTTTGTGTTGGGAGAGCTAAATGGTGGTTAAGGCTGGATTTTCATTTCCCATGGTTGACTATCCAACCTGGGTGTGCTTTAAGACCCTTAAAGCTGCCACCTAGCTCCTTTTTTTTTTTTTTTTTTAAATGCAGATACTGTGCTCTTGCTCAGATATTAAGCTATGGTGGTTCTCAACCAGTGTGTTTTTGCCTACTCCCTGCCTTCCCCCCCCCAAACCCCAAAATCCTGGGTGATATCTGGAGACAGATTTTAGTTGTCACAACTTTAATAGGGGGCGGGCATAAATGCTTCAGGTCCTTAGAGGTGCTCTCTAGCTTCCAGTTCTCAGTGCCCCTTTGCGGGAAGAGAAAGACAGATGATCAAGTAGGAAAGATAAGTGTTTAGCAGCGGTGCTCACACCGTGCTCCCAGAGAACAACTGGAACGTAGTGATCTGACAACAGAGCTGGGGGAGCGCCATCCAGAGTTGCAGCAAAACAAAAAGTAATGGGATTTTCTCTCCCATGGTGTTTTCCTTGAACTTTGGTGCCTGGTGTTGCTTATTAGTGAGAGTTCTGGTTACAGAGAGAGTCATCATGTAGAATTGAGGAGTGGCGACAAGCTCGCATGGCTGACACCGGCTTGGTGCCACAACTTGCTTTTTCATGGACTCATGCTACAGGCCTTTGAGAGAGGTTTCCTGGTTTGTATGAAGCTGTTTAGTACATTGCAATTTCATAGTGGTTTCTAAGAAGTACTCTGTATTCAGGTATCCCTTGAATTCCTTTGAAAATAGAAAAGAAATTGTATAGGTCCCATTTAAATTTGTGATAGTATAAATAGAAAGTACGGCTCTTCCTGGTCAGTTCCCTTGTCTGTCAAATGCTGTCGTTTTAGTTAGTGAAGCTCCAAGTCTGTGAAGGAGCAAAGAGGTGATAAAATCATCACGGCTTTGCCTTGGAAGGAGACGTGGTGGGTGTGAGCAGTCCCCCGCCTTTCTGGATGATGGGACCGAGGTTCACCTGCTGGCTGGAGGCCGAGGGAGCAGAACCAGAATTTTTACTTCCACTTTGTCACCCTGCATTGCTGAGACTCACACTGAGTCCTGTGTCTGGCTGCCTTATTAGTACAACCACTGAGAGGACAGGTTTCAACATAAAATGTCAGCTGGCAGGTGGACATGCTGAAACGTGTAGCATTTTCCTCTCTGAGGTTGTGATGCTGAATGGCAGCGAACACAAATGTCAGCCACAGCTGCTCCACACGTGTGCCGTTGCTGCTTGTACGTTGGCACTGCAGGTCTTCTTAAAAATGGTTCTTTCTGACTGGTTAAATGTGCATACGAACATGCATACATTTTTATAGGCTCATTCTCCACAGGTAGCTATGCATTTATACTCTCAATCTCAGGACTTCCTTTCCCTGTACCCTCACCTGGTACGTTTGGGAGGAGAGGAGGACAGATGCTGGGAAGAGGTGGGCAGGTGGGCAGAGGCCGGTCCTACAGGGCTTCTAGGTGCACAAAGGGGGTTAGGTTCTGTTCTGAAGGCAGTGGGGAATGGCTGCAGGACTTGGACAGAGTTCTGTTCTTTCCTCATTAAAACATGATCACTCAAATGCTGAACAGTGGAAAGAACAGAATCAGGGAGACCAGGCAGGAGCTTCTGTGATAGATGAAGTAAAAGTGGGGGTGACAGTATGGAGAAGTGGATGGATTTGAGATTTATCTGCAGAGGTAGACTCCACAGGACCTGCTGGGGTGAGGGGTACACTGAGACAGAGGGATGCATCCAGAATAACTCCCAGTGGTTTGTCTTGAGCAACTGAGTGTTACCAGTACTTACTTGAGCAGCAATTTTAGGGGTCAGGAGTTCATTTTCAGATGTGTTGAAAATAGGATATTCATGAGATGTCTAGTAGGCAGGCTGGAGTTCAGAAGATTGAAACTAGCTAAAGAAAAGTAGGGAGCCATCAACTTCTCGGTGGTGCTTAAAGCCATGAAATATGCGTTGAATGGGGTTTGATGATAAATAAGTCTTAGATAGATAAGAAGAGGGGTGTCGTCTTAGGATGGTGGGGAAACATTCTGAGCAGAGGGATA